AAACACTTGCATTTATGTACTACAGCAAGACTTGGGGTTAGTGATGTGCAGCCTGCATAGAGTCGAAGTTCTATATGGCATGGAAAGAGAGAAGCACAGAACACATCTTGCAATACAGAATTTTCAAAATTTTTTAATATTATAGTTTCTTTTAAATGTGGCTTTTAATGTACATTACATTGGATACGAGGAACTGCAGTAAGATAAGGCTGCTAATTTTAAATTTCACTGTGCTAAGCAAAGATTGAGGTGACAGTTTGAAGAAGTGAGGTTGAACATTGTTCCACAGCAAAGAGTAAGCCAGGGCAAATACTTCCGTGCTGGAGATAATTTTAGAAACAATTTTTTTTCTCTAAGCTGTCAGCATCTTTATCTTGTGCTAAGAACAGCGAAGGGAGGACAAACAGTAAAACCAAAAGTAAATTATGGCTATTCAATATACAGTTTTGAAATAATTTGTGGAAAATTATTGTTGCTTTATTCTCTTTACAGGTGCAGAATGAGTTTATTTTAGCAACTGAGAGAGACTCGTTTGTAGACCAGGTACGAGAGATTATTGAGAAAGCAGATGAAATGCTAAGTGAGGATGTAAGTGTGGAGCCAGAAGGTGATCAGGGTTTGGAGAGTATGCGGACAAAAGATGATGGCTTCTTTCCAGGGTCACAGGTATGTAAAGGACAGATTGTCTTAGCTATTTGTATTTTCCATTTTGGGTGGTATGGTTTTATAAGTAGAGCTAGCTAGAAACTGAAACTTTCCTTCATGAGAATGTCGAAGCTTAGTAGTAGTTAAATGAAAAGACACACAGAGAAAGCTTCATATCAGGGTGAGAGCCTGAAATTCATTTAGAAAGCTAAATAACGTAGACCTCTCTGCTCTTTGATGTGTTCTAACACTTTCGAAGCTGCTGAATCTCCTAACAGTCCACTGAACAGACAGACTTAAATGCTGAGGCTTCTTGGATTTGAGGTTATTATGAGGCAGGACACTAAAACCCCCAGCCCTGTGCTGCTCACTAAATGCTGAGAGCCTGGACTCAGGCCCTTTACACAGTGAGCTACTAAGAGATTGGATGGCTCTGTTAGAAAACACAGGTTTTGAAAGTGGTTGCTGGGAATAAGAAGGGGTGACATTTCCTGAATGTGCCTGAATCTGCCTTATTTCCACCCAGAACTAGTTTGAAACAACCATTTATCTGTAGAATGTTTAAGGAAATCAATTGGACTGCCTGTTAACAAAAGAGTGTTCAGATCAATTTGTTATATTGATGGTCACTAAGCTGAGAAGTTCTAAAAGCCCTGTAGCTGACACTTATCTGGGCAGAATTCCACTAGTTGGGTAATGGTGCTTGGGTCCAAGGTACTGCTTACCTTAAATGCCCACATTTCAGTAAGCTAGCATTTTAAGAACTATCTTGTGGGTTTCTCTTTCAGAATAGAACTTTAAATTTTATCTTACTTTACAGAAATTAGAGTTCAAACAGCCAGATCCTACATCTTCCATGCCACAAAGAATAGGTAAGTCTTTTGTAATTTTTTTCAACAGTTACCTTTTTCTATTTCAGCGGATGGGTGCAGCCAAGTTTTTATTTTGTATGATGGAGTGCACATTCCGTATTGCAGGTTATGTATTTAGTTATAACCGTGTTTCACTAAATATGTAACTTCTTTCTGTTTAGGGGTTCCTCCTAGCTCCTTTACCCAGGTTGTCCATTCTGCAGGAAGACGGTTTATTGTCAGCCCTGTCCCTGAGAGTCGGTTGAAAGAACAGGGCTTTTTCACGTCTGCTATTCCTGGAGGAAAAGAAACTCCGGATATAGGTAAGTTATCTAAACTCTTAAAATCTGATGGCTAAGACATGTTCATTAAAACTGTGAAGTTAGTTAATTAAACTGTTCCTAAACACCTCTTAAAGGTTCTTAATTCTTGGGGAATTAAGGAACTGTCTGTGCTGGTAAGAAGTGATTATAATTTGGGTGATACTATGCAGGATTCTCAGGGAAAAAAGATTTTGATGGGCTGTCTGCAAGACTCTGAAACCTTAATTCTGTATTTTAATGTAAGTCTGGATTTGTAATTTTTTTTTTTTATTATACCGAGGGGTAAATGTGATCTTAGTCTAGCAATAGACAATAATACTGTGATGAACTTTTCCAGGTGGACTGACATTTTTCTGTTCTTCCAGTTGCTGCATCTCCAATGCATGGTCCTGGAATGAATCTCTCCCACTCGGCATCATCACTGAGCTTGCAGCAAGCTTTCTCTGAGATGGGGCATGCTCAAATGACAGAAGGACCTAGTACAGCTCCTCCAGTGTTTAATCAAACAGTACCACCATTTCCACCTGCACTTTCTACCATGGCGGGCAGTGGTGCACCTCCTGCATCTGTGGCTGCTTCTTCAATATCTGTTCCCTCAAGCACAGGTGTTTCTCTTCCAGGTTCTGTTACTTTGCCTTCAGAAAGTGCAGCTGTTGGAGTTGCACCAAGTGCAAGCGTGCCAAGCTCTATGTCTCCACCTCCAGCCTCACAGTCTGGACAGCAATCTACTGGTGTCGCTTCCAGTGTGAGCGCCCCTGCTTCTTTCTCCTTACCTACCACATCCCAGCCTGCTCAACCAGTAACTGGAGACATTGGCCCCAGTATCAGCACACCATCATCTTTGACACTGCAGTCTACCCAGGTTCCTGGTGTCACCGGTCTTGGTGTTGTTGCACCAGCTGTGACATCTCAGTCTACTCCTCAGATTGTAAGTAGTATGGCAGCACCACAGACATCTGTTGCCCTGTCTCTGGCTCAGAATGTGGCTCTGCAGGTTCCTCAGCTTAGTAGCAGTGGTTCTGTCTCCAATCTGGCAGAAACAACAGTTGTAAGTGCTCCACAGTCACTACCTGAGAGTGGGCAGTCTATGGATAAATCACAGCTCTGCAATGCAGCTGGCTTATCTCTTCCAATCTCTGCACCTTTATCATCCTCAGTAGCAACAAGCATATGTGGTTCAGTCACTCAGCCTGTGATACATCCCTTACTTGTCCCATCAGGAATTACATCCACGCCTGTCCTACCCCAGATTCCAGGTGCAACACCCATGTTGCCCCAGGTTCCCTTACCTGGTGTCTTACCACAACCAGTTACTAACTTGCCTGCAGTACAGCAAACTTTGATACACAGCCAGCCTCAACCAGCTCCATTACCCAATCAGCCTCATATTCACTGTCTGGAGGCTGATGCTGATGCTCAGTCTAAAGCTCCTGGTATTGATGATATAAAGACCCTGGAAGAAAAGCTACGGTCTCTCTTCAGTGAACATGGTAATGTGGGAACAGTGCATCCATCGGTATCTCTGGAGACATCGTTGGTGATGGAAACTACAGTTATTCCTGGGATACCAACCACTGCTGTTGCACCAACTAAACCCCTGACATCCATTAGCACTTGTATACCTCCAAGCAGTTTGCCTCTTGGACCAACTGGCTTGCCAGTGCTGACACCAGTTGCCACTCCCGGGCAAGTGATCACCCCAGTCAGCTATATTTCAGCATCAAGCAGCATTGCAACCGCAGTAGTGAAACCAGGGACCTCTCCTTCAAAGCCCCCTCTTAGCAGGGTACCGGTAAGAAATGCAACGTTGTGTGAATATTCAACTATTGTAGGAAACAGTCTTTTTGAGCAAAATACCTTTTATAAAGCAAAATATTTATTCAGGCAGAGGTGTCTTCATTTAATATAATATTGAAAGTTTTATGCTCTGGTTGTTTTCATGTCCCAAGAGGCGTTTTATTTCGTCCATATTGGGGAAAAAGTCCAATTCTGTATGTGCCTCTGAAAGAGCTCTCTAATGTATCTGTTAATTTTTCCTACTCCTAAACTACAAAGAGTGAAGCAACTGTGGTTTGGGTTTTTGTGGATTTTTTGTTGGTTTTTCAAATAGAATTTAGAAGGCTTGCTTTAAATAGCTTTTTGTCTTGTACATGATCACTAGAATGAGATGTGAGATGGGGTGGTTGTATGTTTCACAAAGTAGTCAGGATAGCTTAACTTTGCTTCTTATCATTAGCCTGTTCCTTGATGGCAAGGGTGAACCCGACTGGATTTTTTTTTTTTTTAGAAGTCCTCTGCTGCTTATGTGGTGCCTGGATACTCTTTTCTTTCCAAATGTTAGATTTGTGAAAGCAGAATTTTGAGAAGTTTAAAAGATATCTGGATACTTTTTTGTTTCACTGAATCGTGCTCTTTCATAAAGAGATAGTCATGATGTGTAGTAACAACCGGAGACATGTTGTGGATGTTGTTACCTGCTCACTAACCAGATGTATCAGTATGTGAAATTAGATCACCTGTTTTCTTTTAAATGGCTCCGTCTATTGGGAGACTGCACTTCAATATTTTAAACTATTGGTAGTCCTTTCCAAAGATTCATGGAAATAGGTTGAACAAACTTTCAGGTGTTTAACAAACCAAACCCCTTAATACTCACTTCTCTTGTTTCTGTAAGGTTTTTTTTCCACTCACCAACACTTTGTGTTCGTTGTCTTTAGCCAGCCTTGCTATTAACCAGTTTCAGGCCATTTGAATTGAGCTAATGCTCCTAGCATCTCCATTTGTTAGTAACCTTTCCCTTGTACTCCTTGTGTTCAAACAAAGTAGAAAATTTCTGCTGTGGAGGAACAGGAACGTGTGCCAAGGAAGTTGGGAAGGAAATCTAGACACAGAGGCATTCATTTATATAGAAATCAAGTGGAGAATTAGATTAGAAAGTAATAAAACCTGGTATTGGTTCAGGAACAGTTGGAATAGTTAGAAAGCTGCTAACTGCAAACCTGTAATTACAAAGGCTTGGGTTTAAGTCTGATAAATATTCGGGGTTTTTGATGTCAGTTGTGGGAAAGCTACCTCCTCTCTGAAGTTTTCGCTTATAAATTAGTTGGGTTTTTTCAAAGCTTAATTTTAGTTTCACTTCCTGTGTTGTTTTTGAGCTTTAATGAGCTTATTGCTTTAGTTTTCTGGGGTTTACTAAACTGTGCATGTGTGTATTTTATTTTGTTTATGGCCAGCGTGTTAACCTAGACAATTAAATGTGTTTTGACTTGTCTTATGAATTTATTTAAAATATGTTTTGCCCCCTATTTATAAACTGAATGATTAAATTACCACAGCTTAACAATTCAACATGCTTCAGAATGGGTAATGTCCATGTGTATGTTCCTAGTGCACAAAAAAGCTGAGGTAATGCAACTTTGTGTAGTTCCTGCCGAAACATTTTTGGAAGGGTAGATAATTATGGAGTGTATCTCCCCTGGGCAGTAGTTATTACTGCAACTTGATCCATTAGTTAAGCTGTGGTAATACGACTGCAAGCTAGAACTGGTTCTCCTTGTTGAGGACCGGGGTAGACTTTGGGCCAATTACACATATCCAGAAGTGCTCGCTCTTGTACAAGGGAAGCCAGCTGACCAATGCTATAACTCATAAGGCTATAATGTATTTCTCAAACTTCAAAGTCACGGTCAAGCCTCAGGATTACAGCTGAGAATAAGAATTGCAAATTGTGTAATGGATCACTTAATTCCTAGAACTTCCCACTTCCCTAACAATGGAAATAACTAACTGGAATGTGCTATCTGACCTGGCGGGAAGGCTTTGATGCCTCCTTCTAACCTTTCCAGTCTCTCTAACCTCTTTCACATAACCTGGATGACTTCCCCCTACCCAGTTGCATGGCCTAGTCATCTTCTGTGGGTCATCAACACCCTTCGGGTTCAAAAAAAGTGATGTATCAAGAGATTGGTGTGAGAGGTCTATAAATCTGCTGCTCAACAAGTGGAGACATCTCAGGCATGACAGATCCTGTTCTCAAGTCCTGTTGCTTGGAACAATTTGCCAGAAGCTCGTAACTTGCTCTTGCTAATGGGCAGTTAACATAGATCTGTTGAAAGGAGATTGAGTGCATTTTTGCACCCTTTTATAAATTAAGCTTCTTGGAAACTTAATTGCTTTTTGGAAGAATTACTGTAGCATTTCTTGCAGACATGAAAATAATATCCCCAAGATACTTTGCTCCTGGACACAGCAGCTTGTTTAAAATGGAAATTGTGACCACTCAAAAATAATCTGGATTAAAAAGTGGAAAAAAAAGCAAACAAATGACTTCCCCCAACTCTGTTGCAAAAATCCCTAAAGACTCTATGCTAACTCTCCAGGAAGGGCCTCTCTACAGGAAATAAATGTTGAGGCTTCTGTTGTATGACATGACTGACTATAGCTTGGTATCTGATCCTTCTGTTGTTCCGTGTCTGATGGACTCGCGTTTCCTCTTCATTATCCATAGGTGCTACCAGTAGGTTCTGACCTTCCAGCTGGCACTCCGTCCAGTGAGCCGCTGCCACCTTTTCCAGGACCTTCACTAACTCAGGTGCTGCACGACTCGGCGGACTCTATCTGCTGCTTTTCCTTTCAAAGAGCATGTTTCGATTAAACTCTCCATTGCATGTTATTAATGTCTTTGTTTTTCTTTTCTTTTGACTGAGTAACCCCTTTTGTGTGACTGTAGGAATGGCCAGAGTCGCTTCAGCACTGGATAGGTAGCTTGCCCTTTGGGATGCTGTACCCAGTGTTTGAAGCACAAGAACAATTAATCAGGCTTGGGTTTTTTTAGTGTGTTAACCTGAACTTTAGAGGTTTGCTGTTGTTTGGGGTTTTTTTTGTGGGTTTTTTTGTTTTTGTTTTTGTTTTTTTTTTTAAAGTGACACAGGTGAGTGTGTGCATAAAACTTAAACCTGTTTTCTTCTTGAAAAGGGTACAGTAGCACAATAATAGCTCTTTAAGGAAGCAGTATATAGTGCAATTAAACATTAATGAAAATGCAAAATTCCTGGCTCTGCAAATTCCTGGGTTTTGTTGAGTTTTGGTTTTTTTCCCAGTTATTACTACACTCTGATTTCACTAGGCTTTCAGATTTGCAAAAGGTCTTTGAAGCTCCTGATCAAAATATGAGTTGAAATGTAACAGTGGCTTCCCTTGCTCAGATTCTGTCCTTGTATGCAATAGGTAGCTTGGATATCTTGTCTGTAAATTGGACAGGTGTTCAGCTCAGGACCACAAAGATTAAATCTGTCTTCACTTTCATTTAAAAAATAGAAACACACACGCACACACACGCACCCCAACCCCGTATTTGAGATAACTGTATTAAGATAAGGCTGTTTTATGGATCTTCTAAATGGTGTGTAATCAGATGTAGCATGGGAACACTACACTTCAATATGCAAAGAAAAGCTGAAAAAATAACTGAACAAAACCTGTGAGATCATGAGAGTTGTACTCCTTTTGAAAGAAGTTTGTGAATAAACACAAAGATGGCTTTCTATAGAATTATGTTAAAGTACATTTGGCATGGAATTATCATTCTAGTTTTATATTCAAACCTGCAAAGAAGATACGATTCAAGTTGGTATCTAGTTCTGCTTGCTTAAGGCTCAGAGAAATTTTGCGTTCCACCTGTGGCTTAAGTCCCCAGTGAACAGTCTTAGAATACATGTCCAAAATCTACACCTGAATTGGAGTCTGTCCTTTTATAGAAAGGAATTACTCGCTTTAGTCTTAACTGTTACTTTAAGGTCATTCCAATAAAATAGCTACAGTGTTAAAAATTGTACAATACTTATTAGCATTATGGCCCATTTTCTTTCTTTTTTGTTTTCTTGTCCACTGAGAATTTTAATGCAGACTGAGCTAATGTTGACAAAATTCTCTCTATATCACCAGTAATGTTATCTCTCTCATCTCTTGCAATGGAGCTCTTGAATTCAAGTTTCACCTGTGGAAGGGAAAGTCAAATAAACTTTAAAGGTTATTTTAGTTCTTTACAAGTGGTTTCTTTTTTTTTTTTTTTTAGATTTAAAATAGCTTGATGAGAAAACTTCTGTCTGAAAGAATTTAAGCTGACTGTCATAGAAAGGAATAGTGTTAGAACACTGCAAATTTAAACCGTGCTAAGGCAACAGCTTTCGTTAATGAGCTGTCATGGCTTATACTCTACAGCTAAAACTGTAAAAACTGAATTACATGTATTAGGGTACTAAACTTCAAAGATCTCATTGGAATAATAGTATTTCCATTTCTGTCTTTCAAATGTGAGAACCGTGGCATTACCTGATTCTAAAGGCATGAGTAGAGTTGAGCAGCAGGGCATGTTAACTGCTTTCGTGTAATTTTATGTTGGTTATGACGTTAGCAGTCCCTATTTCAGTTTTCCAGCTTTTTTCCTCCAGTGCTCTGTATGCAGAAGCTCTGTCTTTATTCAGCAGTTTCTCTGGTTCTCTCAGTAAATGTCATTATTTTGTGATCTCTTAAGAATCTCTCTTAATTTGCTTAGAGTACGTCCTGGAGGTTAGAATGGGAACAGTCTAGTGGGCCTAAGTTACAATGTGCTGAAAGTTGACATCTCAGCCCTTCTGTTCCTGTTCTACCACCTTCTTGGTCTTCATCTGATGGGGCAAATGCAAATCAGTGCCCTTAAGGAGTCCTCGCAGGTGGCCTCTGTGTCCAGAAGTCCTCCTTGGTTGTCTCTTCTTTTTAATTTTAAAATTAAAATTTAAAATTAAAATTTTAGTATTAAAATTAAAAAAAGGCATTTTTAAATCTTGTGTAAGCAATGAGAATCAGTCTACTACTTGGAAAATATTAGTGTGAAAAGGCAAAAATTTGTGCTCTTTATGTAAGAAAGGTATGGAAGTGAATGTATTGCTCTTGAAACCTGTCATGGAAAGGAGTGCTGCTGTGTTTGGTTTTATGCAGCTTCTTTCTAGCAGGCCGAATGAGGGCCATATTCCTGCCCCGTCAGTAATCAGGATGTGGGTTTCTTCTGCCTCCAAACTGAGCAAGAAGCTGATTGACTTATGTAGAACTGTAAGATGGTAGTGTTTGCAAGCAACACTTTTTCCTTTCCCCCCTGTCCTGGCTTCTGGACACAGAACCTGGTTTACGCCTTTCAGCCAGTTCTTTTTGAAGCATGGTTTTGCTGAAGAGGAGACAACAACAATTTGGTGATAATTCTTATCTGCGTTCTTACTGTGAGCAAGGGTAGCAAATGGATCTGGAGGCAGCTGGTTAAAATCAGTTGCACTAAGTTCATAGTCCTTTTTATTGTCATTGCTTGGAAGTGAGGATATTAGTAATGTTTTTCCCCCAAACTCAAAGCACTTGTAGCCACTTCTGTGACTCAAGCTACTGTACCACTGCAAAAGGCTTCTCCCTGTTTGTCATAGGTATTTCTGGCAGGATTTGTGGTATGGAAAAGGCACAAATGTTGATCACTTGCTGCTTGTCCTTTGCAAACAGCTTACCTAATTTCAATTCTCGTTTGAACTCTAAAGCCTGTCTAGGAAGGAGATGAAATTGGAGGAGACCAACTGGATCAAATCTAATTGACTGTTAAGAGCATTTGCTGCATCTGGAAAATTACTGGCTTGTCCTAAAGTAGATAGGCTTGCTGCCTTTACTGCTTCTGTCAGTAGCTCATTACAGAACTTCTTTTTTTTTTCCTTTTCTTAGTACCAGACTCCTAATTTGCAGCCAAAGTACGTGTCATCTCAAGACCAGTTTTGGGCAGTTTGTTCCTTAGTCTTAAATACCTGTTCTCTTTAGTCCTTAATTGCTTTTTGAAGTGTATTTAGATTAATTTTTCAAGCTTCATTTTTGGTACCCTTGTTCCATAAGGAATCTTTATTTCCTGATCTTTCTGATATCTCAACGCTTTGTTTACTTGAAGCAAGTATCTTCTTGTGAGTGTAAGTGATGAGAATTACACAGTATTTCAGGTGAAATGTCCTCTTTATTTTAGACTATTATTGAATTAAATTACTTCACTTGTCTACTTAAGCATTTGGATTTCTGAATGGCATCGTAGAGGTCTGCATCTTCTTGTGCTCTTTTTTTTCTTTTTTTTATTTGGATGGAATTGATACAGGGTTTATTGTTCTCAGTTTTTTTGGTTGTGTTTTGAAATCCACAATTCAGGAAGAATGTGACCCTGGTAACCTGTTGGAAGCATCTTTATGCTATTGTGTATGTCTAACTTTGTTTCTTGAAAGTGGAAGGTAATGTTTTCATGTTGCTATGACCTCAGCTTCAGTTCTAAAAACAGATCTAGCTTTTTAATATAGAAGATTTGGAAAGATTAATGATGATAAAGTTTGGATGGAAATTTCTACTCCATGGGGTCAGAATTGCAGCTTAGTGACATCTGCCAACACATTCTTCTTTCATATGTATCTTAGGGGATATGGCCTTAATTAATTTTGAGTAACCTGATCTTTTCTTATCTTTAAGATACTGATAGGTATTTCTTCTTCTCTTCCCCTCCCCAATCCAATTGGCCAAGTTTGAAAATCATCTTGGATGCCGACTCAAACAGCTGAAATCTAAGTAACAAGCCTACTTGAGAGAGACTATGCCCCTCTCCCTGCATCAGCTTCAAGTCAATCAATCCAGATAGATTCTTTGAGGGAACTTAAAAGTGGTTTGTTGTTTTGTTGTTGTGTGTGGTGTTTTGTTTTTTTTTTTTTAAAAACCTGTGCTATCCTCAATCTTGCTTTATTCATGCTTGCTTTTGAAATTATGGGCATCTTTTTGAATTTTTCTGTGTTTTTTTTTTTTTTCTAATTGACTTTCTTACTTCAGGATTTTATATAATCCATAATACAGATTATCTCTGTTATCTTCCAACCAGAAAATGTAGAATTTAGGGGCTTGTAGCGTCTTTGGTTCTTAAGAGTGGGAATGCAAACTTTGTGCTAACTTCAGGAAAAACAGAAGTTCCAGTTAACGGTTCTTTTCTATTTTTTACCAAACATGTTGCTTAAATTGCTTCCAGTCTTACTGTGCTATACATGTTAAATGTAAACATGTAGGAAGGGAACATGATGGAAATATGTAAGCTGTACAGACTGCTTTAAATTTTAGTGTTAAATATGGCTGTTGTTTCTCAAATGTGATGTATTGCTCCTGAGCTGGGACAGCTGTTTACTCTTCCCTTTCTCATCAGTCCCAGCAGCCACTGGAAGATCTGGATGCTAAGCTGAGAAGAACCCTTAGTCCAGAGACTGTGCCAGTGACATCTGCTCCTGCCTGTGTACGTTTGCAATGTTGCCAGTTAATAGCCTTGAAAAACTTCAGTGTTTTCTCAAGGTCATGCTTTTAGGTCACAGCCTTTAATATCACTACACCAGTCCTTAGACTTTTAAAAATAAAACTGAAGAGTCATCTTCCAGTTTGTGGGACTGAGTCAACCAAAATAGGAAAAATCTTTATGTTGCAATGGACTACATATTTCCTGAGGCTGGTTTTGGTATTAGTTCTTAATCTAGCTTTTCTGGTAACGTCGTCAATGTCAACAAACTGGAAGGGGAAGTGACTGTGGAATAAGGGGAAAGAGCAGTAAACAAGCAGTATGTGATATATCAGTCTTAACTTGGGAGGGATGTTTAAAGTGTGGATCTGAAATTTTAAGAGAGTCTAGTAATAAACTTTGCTACAAAATGAAGGTAACAATTGATGTTGCGATCTCCAAGTGGCTACTTATGCATTACTTCTGCAAAGCAAAAGGGGATGTTCTGCTTACAGCCTTGGGGTTGTAAAGCATGAAAAATCTCTTGCTGATGTTGCTTGCTGTGGAGGTTAAACTCTTGCATTCGTCTTGTCATGGGTCATACTTTGACCCTGGTGGAAATAAAAGGTTCTGTGATATGCGATATGGTGGATTTGTTGGCATTCAATCAAACAACTGATTCTTTCAATTTCATTTTATTTTGTTTTCCCCCTTGAACTTGTAGTCTGTGCCCTCAGTAGCATCTGCAACGGTTACCAGCCTGGTGTCCACAGCTACGCAGTCTCTGAAGGATGGTAAGACAGCCTTGGTTATTTTAGATCGTTTCTCAGCATGAAGATATAATCTAACAGACTCGCACTTTGGAAGGAAACAGCCTTTTTTAGTGAGTCGTACACTGGCAATTCCTTAAGGATCATATTAGTTTTTAGTAATTAGACTGAAATTTTCCACTGTAGGCCAGGAGAGGGGAATGATATATGCATATTGTAGTAACTCATTTAGGATTTAAAGCTGTCCAAAATGCTAAATTAAAACTTGCAGAGAATCCCTAGTATGCTACTAAGGTACAGCTTCAGGATTTGAAGGAACTGTTTTCTGTTTTGTGTTACATTCTTGGCAACAACAGTAGGACTTCTCATTTTGCGTCATTGTGCTGTGTTCTGTACATAGGATACCTCTTCCTAATCTAAGAGTGCTTCCTTTCTATTTAAATGGAGAAATGAAGGTTAAGCTACTAAAAATTTAAGAAAGGTAGTAGGAAAACCAGACTCCTCCCTGGCTGCTTTAGAACAACTAAAGGTTGACTGGATAATCAACAGTTGAGGTCTGAATGATCAATGACTTTCAAATCTAAATGAGTTCAGTTGTTGGCGGGGGGAACCCAACAACTTGCAGAATAGTCTGAGACTTTCCTGTCAGTATTCCTCTCATTGTTTTAATTTTAAAAATCTTCCTTTTTTTAAAACAAAGTGTTACTGTGGTACTAAGTTTATTTCTGACCTATCTGGTAAACATTACTTAACTTGCGTGTGTCTCTGAAGTGCAATAGCAACCCTTCAAAAGCTAATAAAACCAGTAGGAAAAGAAAATATTCCCATTTTTGTATGTCGGTAGTCAACTATACCATAGAACTCATTTGTCTGCTAGAAAATGGGTTGGTTTTGTCTGCTAAAGTTTAGAAGGCAAAAATAAACAAACTGGGAAGTTGCTTAATAAACACAGCAAGCTGTCCAATAGAACTGATTTAAAAATAGAATGTTATTTCTCAGCTTTGTAACCTTATACTACCAGTGCATACAGCAACAAAATTAGGAGCTGACACCTAAGAATCCAGCTCTGAAAGCTGATAGACTGCTTTGAGTAAATGGGGTTTATAGCATTTCTTCAACTTACCACTTTTCTATTAATAAATTGTCCCCAGCGTTTGTGAAATGTAGGTAGTCAGTGTGGGTATTGACTTAAGATAGGCTTTTTCTTACATAAATTTCCGTTCCGTTTTTTATTCTTTGGCTATTTCACAGCCCTTTTTGAAATCAGTGTGCTTTTTTTACTGCTATCTAAAAGTGCATTTTCGGCACGTATACTGTGCAGGGAAGCTTTATAGAAAAATACTTCACTATTATTGCAGTTTGATATTCTGTCTGGTAAAGGTGAAGAAAAAAGAAAAAAAAGAGATCAGGTTCCATGAATCCAAAGGCCTGTTAGGAGTTAACTGATAGTTGAATTTGAAGTAGATAAAAAGAAGTGGTTGGAGTTCAAATAATCTGATGCTCATATTCTTCTTAATTCCGTTCTCCTTTTCCTTAGCTTCAGCATCAGGTGGTGGAGAGAGCAGTGCTATGGCTACCACAGCAGGAGCCGGGGTTCTTAAGATGGGACGGTTTCAGGTAGGAGATGTTCAACTGATTTGGTTGTTGGTACAGGATCTTGGCTGAGCAGTTCCTGTGTAGTGCCAGCTCAGTGTGCCTCATGCTGTGCTTTTCTGTTGGGAGAAAACGTCCATGATGAGCTTGTGAATGCAGTGCTTTGTGCAGATGCTGTTTTCATGCAGGGCAAAGATTGTGCTAGATTATGCAGGTCTAGAATTGCAAAAATGGCACTGCATCATGTCAGGCCTCAGCTGTGTAACTATTGGCTTTGGTCATTAACGTTAGCTGCTTCTTGGCTAACAGTGCTCACTGTATTATGCCCTGTTTGTGAAGGAAGTCCCCTCTGAATCTGCTGCGTTTCTTAGAGTTAATCCTCCAGATTGCTTAGAATTACTGTTTTCTGTGGCAGCGTGTTACTTGGAGGGAAGCAGTGGGTTGCTTTGTGGCATACCAAGGAAACAAGTTGTTTTCCCCTCTCTGGTGCGTCTTACTGTTAAGGTAAATAAAAGGAAGAATTTAAGGAAGTATTAAGAAAGTCTGCATGATTGCATTTCTATTCTAGGTATCCGTGGCAGTGGATGATGTGCTAAAAGAGGGTGACAAACCTGAAACTAAGCCGGTGCAATTTGAAACCACCTCTGCTGATTCTTCATCTCTTTCTGGCAGTAGCCCAGAGAGTACACTGGTAAAGCAGGCTGGCAGTAGGAAAAGTGAGGCTGTCGCTGACTCTTCCTTGGATGTGGTAGATGGCATTCCTCAGACAGTTCCTGTGTTGCAATTACCAGTAGATGTTGGTCAGCCTACTAAGGTCGGACGCTTTCAGGTTACAACAACAACGGATCAAGTGGGACGCTTTTCGGTGTCAAAGACTCAGGATGAGGTGAGCTGTGCAGAGAAAGAGCCAATGACTCTTCCTCTCTCTGTGGACTTAGAACAAGTTGCTTCTTCAGCTGCAGCTCCGAAGAAAGAGTTGGAGTCAAGGCAGTCCCCACACATGAACGGTCCGTCCTCTGAACCAGAGGTCGCCTTCTTAAGTGGGATGGCGAAGGATTTGGATGATGGCTCTGGGAGTCCAGACTCCCTTCAGCCCCTGGGGTCGAAGATCAGTCTCCCCGTTCAGAGCCTTAGCAACTCCTTCAACTCTTCCTACATGAGCAGTGACAATGAGTCGGATATTGAAGATGAAGACTTGAAGTTGGAACTCCGTCGGTTACGGGAGAAGTAAGGCTTTTTTCCTTGTGTGGTCATGTATGAAATGCAATAGGATTAATATGAATTTCATTTGTACTTTACTTCTCACAAAGAACAAAAGTAAACTTTTTAGAAGACTCAACCTTTGCAAAATGTCAGGGCCCACTGTCAGTGTTTATGTGGGAAGTAAGATTCTTTAGTGGGAAAGTAGTACATAATTATAACAAACAGATATATACATGTTTGCTGTGCTTAATTTTCTGAGCTGTAACCCTGTTGTATGTGTTTATGTGTAGATTGATTGCTGCACTGTGGGTAAGACTGCAGATGCGTAGATGCTTTTGCATATCACTGAAGTTCAGTAGTTAGTGGGAATAGTGGTGTCTCATATGGAAATGACACACAACCTGCACTTCTAATATACATTTCTGGCATTTCTAACGGTTCTCCTTTTCCTGAAGAATCCTTGTTGGCTTAGAAAAATTCTAAAGTCAAGCAGTGTGACCTGCTAATTTATTTATGCTGAAAGCTGAACATTTTTTAGGGCAGCTAGCAATTTTAAATCTTGTGTGTGCAACTGCTCTGAAAAAAAACCTGATGAAATACAAATGTAGAAGTCTCCAAGGCCGTATGTCTCAGAAGATGAGTAATCTGGCTATTCCTGTAGCGTTTTAATGCTGAATTATTTGATCTTCTACAGTAGGCATATGTTCTTGTTTGTTGTACTTCCATTTATCCTGCTTTTACGATTACAGTTTGGGAACTTTGTGCTGGAATTCTAGCCAGCGTTAGGGCACAATGGAAAATGGCAAGTGTTCTGCCATGTGTGTTCAGCAGTTATTTGTGGAAAAGACTTATTTCCTCCTTTCTTGAAAGTTGATGGGAGTTTGACCAAAGAAGCTGGTCAAGCTTGACTGGAGGGGAAGGATTGTATGCATGTCATTTTTGTAAGTCATACTCCTTTGTAACTTGTTAGGCACCTTAAAGAGATCCAGGAGCTGCAGAGTCGCCAGAAGCAGGAGATTGAGTCACTATACATGAAATTGGGAAAAGCCCCACCTGCAGTAATTATTCCCCCAGCTGCACCCCTTTCAGGAAGGAGGAGACGACCTACTAAAGGGAAAAGCAGCAAGTCCAGTCGTAGCAGCTCCCAGGGAAATAAGAGCCCTCAGCTATCAGGTAAGACTTTCTTCAATTTTTTGAGTAGACGAAACAGACTGCCTGGATTACTAGGTCATTTTTGAAATTGCTTTTGCTATTTGGTAGCCTTGCTTGTAACTTTTGCAATCTACTGTTACAGTGTTCTCTAAGAGCAGTTTTAAAGTTGTGATGTCTGTTTTTTAGGGACTAGTCATAGGGCTCTGGCTAGGAAGGAAAGTGTTAGTTTATAGCATGAGGGAAAACTTTGATTTTTATTTTTTCTTAATTTTTTTTTAAAGATAAACTGCTCTCGTTGCCTCCTGAAACTGATTTTGCAGAATGGGAGTGGTCTCTTCAGCCATCTTCACAGATTTTTATTATTTTTTTTTGTCTGCTTTAGTAGCACTGAAGCATGGTATTACTAGTGTCCTTACACTTCAGAAACTTAGTTACAGCTGATGGATGTTATAGTGATTTTTTTTAATGGAGTTGCAATTGTTTTGTACTTAAAAATTGAGAGTTTCAATTGTCAAGGCTTCCTTTCTTACTAAAACTATTTTTATTATAAACAGAACTCAGAAAAATAGTTTTGTTTACTGTTTGAATGACGTGGATGTCAGATGCTTGCTGGGTAATTGTAGATGTCTCTCAAATCCTGTAGCATTGAGTAAACAAGATTGGAGGGCCAGCACTATGAGCAGAAGTATGTTACTGCTTCCTGACTATTCACTTTGGTAATTCCACGTCATGCTGCAATTTCTGTATCCAGTCACCCTGGCTGCTCACTTCTGTTTTGTTATATGATAGGGGACCTATGTGTGAGCATGTGACTGAGCTAGCACAGAGTTGCCTTAAAACTTAAGTAAATAATTTTTCTAGTCTTACTGCTTTCTTAGAAACTGGAGTAGTTTGCTCCCCCTGCTTCTCCCTCTCTTGCATCGTTTGTCATGTTTGACTGGAGGATGATACCCCTTTTGTCTTTTTTTATTATTATTTTTTTTTTTTTCTTTTTTCTGTCCCCCACCACAGCACTCTTTGTTCTGTATCACTAGCAGAATAGCTCAACTGATCCATGTGGGTTACTTGGTAGCGACTTCACTCCCTAGTATATGTTCCAGGCAAGCCTTCCTCTGCTGTCCCTTGGGAACAAGGACAGAAGCTTCGAAAATGATGTGGGGAAACTGAAACATTGAATGACTTTTTGCCTTCCTTCTTCCTCTAGGCAATCTGTCAACTCAAAGCGCACCATCAGTCTTGCCCCCACAACAGACTCTTCATCCTCCTGGTAGTGTGCCAGAGGCTGGGCAGAACCATTTGTTACAGCCCCTCAAACCTTCACCTTCTAGTGAAAATCTCTACTCTGCCTTTACCAGTGATGGTGCCCTTTCGGTACCAAGCCTTTCGGCACCAGGCCAAGGTAAGACTTTAAATAGAATTAGTGTTGAGTCTTGCACCTTTGTTACTGGTGAATGAACGATCAACTTGATGACACTTGGATTATTTTTTGTAATACATTGTATGAAGTAGATTGGTAGTCTCCAACCTATGCGTGGAGGCTGATGAGGCTGTGTTTTGCAACTAGACTTCTACCTTCTCACATAGGTGAAGCGTGAGGTTGTTGAAGTAATGAATATATAGCGCATGTCCCTGTCTGCTGTAATGAAAGCACCAAGGAGAATACAGAAGAGTGCAGTATGGTGGTGGCAAGCAATGTTCTGCTGACCTAGGGGAAATGTATTGGCTGAAAGGACGAGGAGACAGATGGAGAATGGGGGGTCAGAAATGTAAAATGAGACTAAGGAAGGGGGAGAGCAGCTTTGGTGTTAACAGAAAATTGAAATGGTAGGAAACTTCTGATGGCTCCGGGTCCTTTTAGACTTCCAAACTGCTTTGGCTGTTTCTGTCAATGGAACTTTTAACAATAAAAGTTAAAAAAGGCTCATGTTCTGCAGTTGTGAGTTAAAAAATTATCCTGGGAGGAAGAGTTAGTGTAAGAGGATGGAACGGTAGGAATAATAAATTGTTCATTTACTCAAGTTACTCAAGTTATGGGTTGCTTGTTGTTAGCTACTATCAGATAACTTCTCAGACACAGCTCTGGCTTATTTGGTAGCGAGGGCTTTTTTGCTTGCGAGTCATTAAGGGGCTGATAGTTTGATTCTTTTATTTCTCTGTTCCAGTGGTTTTTTTCCCCTTGAACACCTTCTTGAAAAGCTTTGCCATAGACTGATTAAATACATTCATTCTAATGCACGTTTTTGCTGAAATTGGAGAAATACAGACAAAAAATGGAAACGAGCTTTTTGAAAGAATTTTCTATAGACTTTTTTTTTTTTAATGAACTGTTGCAAGTATTTTGGAGCTACTTGAGTTGCGCAGTACCGTTTTATAATTGGATATTTTTGCCAGGATTTGGCTTTCCTGTAGATTGCAACCTTGCTGTGGGGTTACATGCTGGAGAGTAACACTGCAAGCTTGGCCTGGTGCCTGGAGGTGTTGGAGGGAGTCTCTTCACTCCGTATATTGTCTACATACTCTTTGGTCCACACTTTGAGGCTTATTCTTGTGTGTCATGTTAATGCATTTCACCCTTCCAACCTCAAGTTGCTAACATCTTGTAGTGGTGTTCTGTCTCTTCTCCTCTCCTTTCTCTGTTCTTCCCGTTTTTGTTTTCTCACAGGCTGTGCGAAGTTTAACTGTGCATCTGAGCGAGTGACCTTCAAGCCTGGTGGCAGGAGGACCCGATTTCTGAGTACGCCCTGCTTGGCTCTTTGTGTGTAACACCTTTACTCCTTCCTTGTCTGTTTTTTGTTTTGTCTTTTTGTTTTGGTTTTTTTTTTTTCCTGCTGCTTGGATCTGTTTCATGCAGCCCATTCTCATATGCCACCTTGTATTCCCTCCCATCCCATGGCTCAGCTGAGCTGCTCTTAGCGCACCTTTAGAAGTTTGGGTTCTCGTGTTAGGTGTTCTTTGTTGTTAAACTCAAAAGAACAAACACTCATCTTCTCTAAGCTTTTGGTGGAAAGTTTTTCAGGACAGCTTAGCAAAATGACAGAAACCGGGGAGAGTTAGCAAGTTGTGGGTGCATGGGCATTTTCTTTGGGCCTGCCTTAGTAATTATGCTTCGGCATATGTTAGCTGACATGAGATGTGGAGGGGTGGCAGTCTTCCTAGTGGAACAGCAAGGAAGATTTCTTTTCCAAATTATTCCTTTGTTGGATGCTACTGTAACTGATGGGGGGAATACGCTGACTCCCTCCAGCAGTTTGCTTACTGCGCGAGTCGGATGCGTGTTTGCATGTTCTCAGCACTAGTGCTGATTACAGTGCAGAGCATTGATGCCACCTGTAGGCAGTTAATATTGACTTGTTATGTTCTTCAGCAGACAGATAGCTAAGGATTGTGTTGAGGGGTTTAAAAATACTTAGAGACAGGCAAACTCAAAAGATCCTTACCTACTAATGAGCCTAGGCTTAGCAGTTTTTACTGTGAATTGGAGATACACTAAATGTGCAACAAATAGCAGCAAAGGTGGGTAAATAGACATCTTCAGACATCCTATCAGCCCTCATGAGTTACTGTGCAGCCCTTTCCAAAATCCTTTGATTTGTTCTTATGTTAGGCCAGATTTACAAGAGAGCCTCAAACTTCTGATGTGATTGAAGTAATGATACGCTTGAGCCGAGGCTGCCGATGTGATGCTTTTTACTGGGAGTGCTGCAACATCTCCTGTGCTGCTTCTGCAGGCTGGACCCCTTAAATGTCTGACATTTCGTTTCCCCCCCCTCTGGAATGACTGGATAGGAGAAAGCTTTAAGTGCTGTAAAGAGACCTTCAGTTGCTGCACTGCATGACAGTACTGCGCGTCTGTAGCGTCCGTCTCGCTGCAGTTGGCCGTAGCACAGCTGAGCTGGCCGGAGAGTTGTGTGCAGGAGCTAGGCCTGGCCTTCTGCAGAGACAGTTGCAATGCTCCATCCTCTGAGAAGGCAGTGAGTCAGAGGGAGAGGACATTTTTTCCTGGCTGTTCGCTTTTGCAATGATACCTCTAGCCCACTTCATTGGATTCCTGGGGATGTAAGTTCTAATGGTATTAAATTTTTCAAATTGAGCAGCTTTAAATGGTTTTGCTAGGTATATTAATGTGCAGATGTGCGCTAACAGGCACCTGCAATCTCAAGATTCATGGCTCCTTTCTTGGATGAAGTTAAATTCTTAACAAAGCTTACTCTTCAAAATCATCTTTAGTCTGGCCTGTCCTCCTTTGGGGTAGGGAACATAAAGACCAGCCATTCCATTTTTAGAATTGACAATGAAGTGAATATATGAGAGTATCATTTACTTACAAGGCTTTGGCTTGCTGCAAATTGACCATCATCTGACTGTAAGAGTACTTTGGCATGTGTATCTCTCGCTTATGGGACTGATGCTAAGGGAAATGGATTCCTTTTGAGAAGTGTCTTGTAGCTGTCCTGTAAAAGCAGGTAATACTTGGCATGGCACAGCTTGGTCTGGCGCTTGGCTTGCTGCAGGTTGCTTGCTTCCTGGAGTCTTGTCCTTGAAATGCTATTGCAGACTGTTGCGGAGAGTGACAACTGGAGAAGATGCTGGGTTAGAATCGGCTGTGTTGAGGAAACAGTGCAGTAATTGATGCTTTTAACTGTGCAGCTGGAGAAACAGAGTGGTACAGCTTGGCAGGGGATGTCTGAACTATTCCACGCATCTGAGAAAACAGAGTGACCAACTGAAAGCGCTTGACCTATCAAATAAATCTTTCTCATTTGTAAACTGGTCTAACTTGGATAGTTGCAAAATGCTTCCTACCTCCTGATAAAAATGGAAGATGTACATACTTTTCCCTTTGTGGTAACAGCCAGTTGTGACAGTAATGTCTCCTGACATTCTTCACTACCGTCTGGGAATTCTGAAGAATAAATGTAGGAGGCTGGGCCCCTTCTCTTTCTGAAAGTACGACTGATTCGACTGTCAGACACGTCTTTGAGTTTTTCCTAGAACGTCCCAGTAGTGACTACAAGAGCCCTGCTGTACTGTCTCCTCTGTTTCTCACCAAGCTTTTTGTACTGTTTGCTGATACTAAACATTTCTCACTGTTTCTCTTATCTTTAACAAATTACTCTCTCTTTGTGCTTCAGGGAAGATGGTGAAAAAAGTCTGTCCTTGCAACCAGCTCTGTAGTAATTATCTTATTTCTGTTATCTCCGATTCCTGATTGTAAAGCTATTCATCAGCTTTTTCTGGTCACTGAAGCCTTACCTCCCTGCCTCTGTCTCCAGCACAGCATCTGTCTGTCTGTTATGCCCTCCAACGTGTACTCTGTCATTAGTATATTGCACAGTCTGGCTATTACTCTTGCAGCCAAGTGGAGGCAGGCAGAACCTCACCCTGACTGTGGAACTCTTTGCTCATCACTAATGAGAGCGAACTGAGGGTCAGGGTCAGTTGCTCGCTGTAATGTGCTAGAGCTGTACCTCTGAGCAGCTGGTTTGGTTACAGATCTGATGGGGCTTGCCACCTCAGTGATGGATCCAATTGCAGATGCTCCTTCAACATTTTAAAAGACTAAGAGTAAGCCATCAGAGATTTCCAGTGTCTCTCTCAAAGCAAGAGATGTTTAGAAAAGCCTGCGTGTGCTCATGTCACTTAAGACTTTTTCAAAGGTGTCTTTTGACTGCTGGTTTATGGTGGGGGGGTGGAATAAAAGGGCAGAATGAAGGCATTATAGGTAGCAGGCTGGAGAGAGGGAAGCCTGTGTCACTTCGGATCCTCCATGTCAGAGCAGCACTTCCTTCTTGGACTCTTCTGGATGGCAGTTTCTGCAGGCGGTCACTATGTCAGAGCTAAAATGTGAAATTCCTGAGAAGTAATTTTTTTTAAATTGACGCTACCTGGGAGCTTATAGTAATTGTATATCTCACCTATAATTGTGTGGGCTGGTCCGTTTGCGACCTGAGATAGGAGCTCCCTAACAAAATCACTTTGGGAGACGAAGCTCTCGCAACCTCCCACTTTTCCCACCCCAAACCAATCCAGTCCTTTTCAAAACACTTAAACCTTCCGAAATGGTCTTCGGCTGAATGTGTTGTAATACATACCTTGATTAATTCTCTCCCTTCCGTGCCCTGAGGAAGCTCTCCAGGGTAGGTTCAGGATCCAGTGTGCTTACTGATTTAAAGCGGAAATGTGAAATACCAAAAGCAGATACTGGCCATCGTGAAGAGGATGAGAGCGAGTGTGTCAATCCCTGCATGAACCCTCATGGTGGAATGTGATCGTTCCTGGTTTTGGCAGCTCCCCCATAGTACATCTTTCTTGCTTTTGCCTCATTTGTCTTTAATTTCACCTTTCACATCATTGCTCTTATTAAACAATTGTATTCTTGAGCCCTTTCCACATGATGCATGCTTAAGGTTCTTGTTATTTCACTGTAGATTGTCCTTGCCACCTTACAGTGTGTTCCTATTGCTCTTCATCTGAGCTGCCGCTGCACACCCTGGTCAGGGAACCTTACTCTTCCCTTCCTGTGCGTACTGTCGCATGCCTCTGCCTGCCTGCAAACAGCTCCTGCCCCACCTGCCGGCACCCGCACCGGGAGCCACTTCCACGCTTGGGCTGGAGCTGGTGGGAGAGGGATACGTTTCCTTCCTTCCCCAGCACTACTAGAGGCAGTAACACTTTGCTTATTTGTCCTGCATAGTAAGTACGTCACCGTCCTAATTTCACTCCTCAAGATGAAACATTCCTGCAGGGGTTTGGAGCCAGTTCGTTCTTTGATACAGTGGTCGCAAGGCACATGGCTGACGGCCAGGGCAAGTGGGAACAGATGAAGTAGCTGTCAGGCAAGAGACAGCGACGCAGTCATTTGGCCCTTGCAATAGAGAGATGATTCTCATCGCTGGCATTTTTGATGCTCTACTTGTAATCAGTTTTCTTCAGAAATGTCTACCATAAACTCAGGTTTTCTTGGATTTCCCAGTTGCAGTCTCCAGAGTGAGCAAGTAGAAACGTTTGAGGAACTTTGAGAACCAAGTAGGTGAGGATGTGTGCTTGCAGGGAGCGCTGGGTTTAGCACTGCAGTGGCCAGATACTTATTTTGCTGTATTTGATTGGCTTTGTAATACATGGATTTGTAAAATCTAGAGTCATTCCACTTTTACCCCGTCCTTCAGAAAAAGTCTGTTGCCCTAGAGGTTGACCATCATTTCCACGTCTGTAAATGAGGATACTTTGCAATACTGCTGGGAATTTAAGAAGTTTACTTGATAATATGCAGTTTCTTTGATCCCTATGATGAGGTCTGCCTTGGAAAAGCTTAAATTTCAGTGCAGTTGCATGTTTATAAATGTGAGTGGGACAGGGAGGCTATCTAGACCAAAGCTTCTGTTTGGTTTTTTTCTCCAGGAT